TATAGTGGTTTTAGCTTCTTCAGCTAATTTCACATTTTTTTTGCACTCAGCCCAATTCAGCAAAACATTCTCTCTCCATATCCATCTTGTAATTTCAGCTTCTTTCTACCTTTCTAGCTACTTTTCAGCTTTATTTATTTATTGCTAATTTCAGCTTTTTTTTCCAGATAATTACCACTTTTGTGCTCATTTCTGCTTCTTTCAGCCAACGTGTTCTTTTTGCTTTCTTCTGCAAGTTTAAGCTTGTTCTACCTTTTGTAGCATTTTTAGCTAATTTCAGCTGTTTTGTAGTAATTTCTGCTACTTTCAGCCTAAGTTAACTTTTTTCTGTTCCTTTCAGCTTTTTTCTACTAGTTTAAGCTTCTTTCTGCCTTTTCAGCTACGTTTCATCTATTGTTAATTTCAGCAATTTTTTTTAAATTTTTTTTTAGCTAATTTCCAAATTTTTGTGCTCATTTCTGCTCATTTAAACCTACCGGTAGCTAAATTCTGATTTCTTCTGCTAATTCTTAATTTCAGCATGTTTTTAGCTAATTTCAGCTGTTTTTTTTAGTAATTTCTGCTACTTTCAGCCTAAATGAACTTTTTTCTGTTCCTTTCAGCTTTTTTCTACTAGTTTAAGCTTCTTTCTGCCTTTTCAACTACGTTTCATCTATTGTTACTTTCAGCAATTTTTTTTAAAATTTTTTTTAATCTAATTTCCAAAGTTTTGTGCTAATTTCTGTTCATTTAAACCTGCCGGTAGCTAAATTCTGATTTCTTCTGCTAATTCTTAATTTCAGCATGTTTTTAGCTAATTTCAGCTGTTTTTCAGCAAGTTCTTCTGCAATAAGCATTCGCACTGCATTTCCACAGGGAATATATTTGAGTAAAAACCTCTTCACTGAACTGATGATTATATAATTAAAACTTGTGATTTATCATTGATCAGGTGCAAACTTCACATGCTGGAGAGGAAATGCTGCACAGGAGTGGAGAAGCTGAAGGCTCTCATCGAGGTGCACCTGCAGAACGGTTTTCCTCTTTCTGACATCCTGGAGAAGACCAAGTCCTTCCTCACTTTGAGAAAGGCCCTGCTCTCTCACGCCGGCTACAGCAAATATTCAAGGGACATTTTACGCCTGTTTCCTGACTCGGAAGAAGACGTGGCTCCGCTGTGCTGTTAACAAAGACTGGATGAATCCATTCAGCTTCATGAAAAGTTTTGCTTTCTGTTTGCATCACTGTTGAAAATCTGCTGATTTTTATTTTTTTATTTTTTTTTTGTAGAAATGCATTATTTGCATTTTCACAAGAAGACATGAAAACTGTTGTTTTTGGCATTTTAAAGAAAATCTGTTTTAAAGGTTTGATTTTTGTTTTCCCATGATGTGATTTTGTTTTAGTCCTAACTGGTGCCTGAGTGAGATTATTACATTTAGAGTCGCAGTAAAATGTTTGCTCATATTTCTGTAGCGATTTCATGCTGTGCTGCTATTTGGAGGCAAGAGTTGGCTTCTTATCTATGCAAGAGTTTTATTTTTGTCTGCATGGGAACGTTTTAAATGGACTTTTTATTTTAAAACCTCTAGTAATTGTACCTGTTTGACTTGAACAAACTGCCAAATGGTGCCCTTTTTATTCAGGATTCCTGTGAAAAATCTGAAAAGCCTAACGATGTGTGATCGCTGCATTTTGATTTGACTGCCTTGTTTCAAGGCATTGTGTGCAAAACCCTTAAACATCAGCCTTTCTTCTGAAAGGAGATGCGTTGTTTTTTATGTGTATGCATAATTTGTTTTGCCAAGTTTAGTTTTTATTCATCCAAAGTGGATTTTAAGCTGTTTTGTGTTGTTGCATATTTCAAGAAAATAAACAAGTCATTGAGTTTTTATGTGACGTGTTATTAATCAGTCATAGAGGAAATTATTCAATTAGAGCTTGAGCGACTAGAAAACCAACATTCTGAGTGGATCAGGTCCCCAGTGTTTGATTAAAACATAGGGTTGTGGATGTTAAAACTGTTTGACTTGTCGTTCTACCCATTTTTCTTTGAGTTATGAGTTTAATTTGAATATTTAAACCATCAGTGTATTGGGTCCCACACTAATATTTGTGGGAAAACTTTGGGAACTGCTTTAAGGAAAAGAATCACAGTTCTCCTTTGTGTCATCTACAAAAGAATGAAGTACAACAAACATCCACTGCCTCACAAATGACCCAGTATCATCAGTTAGAATAAAATATGTAACAAAAGTACAAAGAAAAATCCAAATAACAGCGAGTCAACTTGAATGTCTGTGACTATATATAAAAAATTAAATCAAAGGGCATTAGTAAAAATGTTTAGACCGTTGTTGGAGGTTTTGGGCGCAAACACAAGTAAAGGAATGTGTCTGAACAAATGTTCTGAGATCAGCACATCACCTAACCAGGGTCCACCTCTGTTTCAGGTTCGCACATTAAAATCTGCTGGTCTGTTTAATCAAAGCCATTAAAATATAAACAAATAAATAAAACACAAACTGGGGTTTCACTGTGTGAATGTTTATGAAGCATTCACTGTGATCCACTTTTCTTTACATTTTTCAGTATCTTTCCCGTTCCACAATGTTGTTTCAACAAATCATAAATCAAAACGTTCAGCTGTTTCAGGATAATCCTGCTGTGACTTTTGGTCTTGGTGCAACTTTAGCTTTTTGAAATATTTAGCCTTTCTTCCATTTTTTTTTCTTCTCATAGAAAATGAATTGAGCTCATTTTATATCCTTCAGATCTTTAGATGTGTTTACAATCTTTTACTGCTCCTTTCATTTTGTTCTGTTCAGCTTCTTTCAGTTTCTGTGTGCAAATTAAAACTTTTTTCAGCTAATTTCAGCTGGGTTTTTTTCCCAGCTGTTTTGAGCTCCTTTCAGATTCTTTCTGCTAACTACAAAATTTTTGTGCTTCTTCTAACTTATTCTATTTCAGCTTGTTATGCTCCTTTCATCTTATTTCTGCAAGTTTCAGCTTTTTCTGCTATTTCAGCTACATATATTTAGCTGTTTTAATGTTATTTTTAGCCTTTTCTGCTAATTCCACTTTTGTTGCGCTCATTTAAACTTTTTCAGCCTAATTCAGCAAAAATAAGCTCTCTTTACTTCCTTCTGGTAATTTAACCTTCTTTCAATTTTTTTAGCTACTTTTCAGCATTTTTCTTTAAATTATTTCAGCCTTTTTCAGGTTATTTCCACTGTTTTTTGGCTCATTTCTGCTTCTTTCAGCCTAATTGGACAAACGTGTGCTCTCTGCTTTCTTTTGCTAATTTAAGCTTGTTTTACCTTTTCAGCTAGCCTTTTTTTGTTGTTGTTGTATATTTTAGTTCATTTCAGCTGTTTTCAGGTAAATACGTTTTTCATGATAATTTCTGCTACTTTCAGCATAATTAACTTAGTTCTGTTAATTTCAATTTATGCTCCTTTCAGCTTATAGTTTCAGTTATTTCAGCGTATATTTAGCTTTTTTTTATGCTTTTTCAGTTAATTCCATATTTGTTGCACTCATTTGAACTTTTGTCTGCTTTCTCCTAATGATTTATGCTTGTTATACATTTTCAGCTACATTTCAGCTGTTTTTCAGCAGTTTCTACTGCATTTTTGCAGGAAATTCTATTTCTCTAGTTACAGTTTGGGTCGACGCTACTCTAGGTGATGCTAACAACTATTAGCATCAGCTATTATTGTTTTAGAGAATTAAACTGACTGTCTGGTGCAAACTAGCCCAAAGAACCAGATTAAACGTCTTGCCTTTACTTAATAGATCCTGCAGCAGAAATCCAATCAGATCACATTTGATCAACCCCTGATCAAACATTATATTTGATCAAACCAACTCATCTTATATGACCCAACAACTTTAACCCAGTAACCGAGCCATAAAGTTACCCAGCGCTTCTGAGTGTGTATTTCTTTCTTACTTTTGCGACACAACATTGTCACTTCTCCGATTCTACTGAAAAACTTACAGCTAACTCATGAATGCATATTTGACTCAAATAACAAAACAAAAATGTTAAAATATTTGTCAGTTCAGATCATCTTAGCGCTACTAAACTACGTTCGTTATGCCACAAAAAGTTAACTCGTTTCTGCATCTCTTTACTCTGAATTATAGTTTTGTTGTAGCTGCAGAGGATGGAGTTATTTTTAATGTTTTCGTAGTTTAATAGCAGAACGGTTTGTCAGAATAATACTGGGGCTAAAATAAAACCAGTTATTAAGTTAAATTTATTTTCTTACGTTGATTTGATATTTCATCATGTAAAGATTACTTCAAATTGTTCGAATGACTGATTTAGACTTGAATATGTTATAGTTCTTTGTAATTTTATGCATATTTATCAAAACACAAGTTACTGTTAACAATTCTACCTAAGAGGCCATGCTTTCTATTTATGTTGAATCTATTGTGAAGACACTGTTTCATTTTTTTGGTTCACGTTTAAACAGTTTCAAGTGAGTGGTGAAAATGGGACAAACAAATCACGTTTGTTTTTTTCTGATTGTTTAATTGCGCATCACTTGGCTTGAAGGGATACATTCATAGTGAGACATTTTTCCAAGACTGGAGTCCTTCGTTGAAGGTCTGGGTGCTGTCACTCACAGAGTTTATAAAGCAGCACGTGTGTCTTGAATAGCATATCTGCTACAAACGCAGAAAATTACCATTTAACAAACAACCAGGAGAGATCCATTAAAAGGAAATACAGAGCGGACGTTTAAAATCTGTAAACAAAACAACGTACGTCTCCCTCAGTGGAGCGAGACGTACTTTTGTTGCTATTAGCAATGCCAAAATTATTCACATCAGGAATTACGTTTACATCACAGAGTAAAAATCTAGATATGAGACTATATTTTAAAACAAAATAGTATAAAACTTGTTGTCAAGGAAACCATTAGGCCTTTACAAAAGGCAACACAGTAAAGCAGCTGTGATAAAAGCAGCTCTTACAATGAGTTTTATTCTCCAGTCCTGCAGAGTCTACCAGGGCCTCCAGGGGGCGCTGCAGACCGGACTCTTGTCTTTCTGGCTGCTGGTCTGGACTGTGGAGCTCAGAGGACAGAAGTCAGCCTCTCTCAGGTTCTTCTCAGACTGCAGCTTGTTGAAGTGGTCCAGCAGTCTTCTGTGGGACTGGATCTTCTCCTGGTCTTTGGACAGGAAGTGCGCCACCTGTTGGACACATCTGGAGTAGCCCCGATCAGCAGCTGCTGAGTCCACAGCTGGATGCTGCTGCTGCTGCAGTCGAGTCAGGAAGCAGACGGTCATCTCCAGGATGTCCGCTTTCTCCAGCTTGGAGTCTGGCTGCTGTTTGAGGAGCTCTGGAGGCAGGAGAGACCTGAGCTGCTCGATGCTGCTGTTGATCCTCTCTCTGCGTAACTTCTCCACCAGAGGCTTCCTGAGCTGCACAAACAGGAACAGAGGCATCAGTTAACTGGGTTTAGAGTAAGTTGGCATCAACGAATGTAACCTGTCATGAATGACAAGAGAACTTGTAGATCTCATGTTTACCTTGTGGCTCAGGGCCAGATGCTCCTGAGAGTTGGTCAGTGCTGCAGTGATTGTTGGAGCCATGGTGGGATCTCTGTGCTGCTGAGGTCTCTGTAGAGAGAATCTGATCCCTGCTGCCTCCATCCCTCCTCTTTATACTCGCTTATCTCCATGTGAATGTGTGGGTCTTGGATTGCCCAGAGTTTCTCACAGTCCCATCCAATCAGAAAGCCCTACGAGACAATAAAGGATGCAAAACGCTGAATGGTATTATTGCCTTAAGGATAATGGTTAGATCCCCGGGGAACAACTGGAGTAGTGGGTGGGTGATGGGTGGGGGGCGCACAAAGCTCTGTGTGAATCTGGGAAAGTGGTGACCTCGGAGTGTGTGTGGATCTGCTGCCTGTTGCTGAAATCAGGAACCGATCTTGCTGCCCATCACACACTCCAACTACCTGTGATAGGAAGATCTTTCAAATTATGCAGAAACGATTTAGAAGTATTTAAATGTATGTGGTGTTTAATTAATCAGGTGCAGGAGAGGTTTCAAGATAAATCACACTTTGATGTTAAAGGTGCACTCATTCGACCTCTTAAGAAGCTTGCAAACATCCATCTTCGAAGCCCCTTTATTGGTTATTTCAGCTTTTCTTTAAGTTTCTAAGCTGAATTTAAATTATTGCTACATGATTCAGGAGCAGTCGTCTTTTCATCGTCCCATCAAACTGAACTGGAATGTAGAGGAACAATCTGAATGTAAAAGGGGGTGAGGGGGGGGGTGCATTTGAATGTTCATTAATCCTTTGGACGTCTGCATTCCTTATATTCGTTTTACAAAAGCCTGGTAATGACGAGTCTGGTTGACTGGAATGTCCATTCAGAGGTAGTGAGACAAAACTCGTAAACTGACTCCATAATTAATGGGATGTGCAACCAGACACACTTCTTTTGTTCTTGGAAGCAGTAAATGGACAGAGTGTGGGAAACTAGAGGAAAACCCACTCACAGAGCCCCTGTGGGACAAAGCAGGCCGACAAGACAAAGATGTCTGTAAAGGGGTGGGAGTAGAGGGGGTGGGGAGTGTTTATACACATTTTACTCAGTAAGGCTGGGAATATGTTTATTTAGGCCTCTCAATATTAATATTAAGTAAATATTTTAACAGAGAGCTGTGCATTTGCATACATTTATTTTTATTATGTCTGCAATAACTATAATTTATATCTGCAGGTCAGTTTGTGTACTTTTATATCAAACTTAGCTATAGTCAAAACGATAGTATTAATGATCAAATAACATTCTCAAACAGTTTATAAAAATGTAATATGACAAACATCACGATAATTTATAATACCATCACACTGGGGAGTCCGGTGTAAATTGTAATCCTCAAATTGTGTTTCATGCCGATTTAGCAATATTTAGCATAAACATCACAAATATTGATCCGATGCAATAATCCAGGTAGATAAATCTAACATGGTTGATTGCAAATATTGTCCATTCGAATAGTTTTAGATAAAAGGAAGTGATAACTTACTTTTTTCTGTATATATTTTGCAATACTTCTGTAAACTAAACTAAACTTCTACGAGAGTTTTTTCTTTCCACTGTTGCCATTGTGCTTGCTCAGGATGGGAGACTGCGACAAAGTGAAGATTCAACGACTCTGCTGCTTCCTTAGACGGAGAACTTCACTAACTGGCTTTTTCATGTGAATGTTCCTGGAAAGTGCCCTGAGACAACTTTGTTGTGAGTTGGCCCTGTATAAATAAACTGAACTGAATTGAATTAAACTTTATTCATATGTCAAAACATTCAGCTCATTCAAGAGTTGGGTGCTATTTTTGTAACATTTATACTTTTTGAAGTATTTAACCTTATATGTCCCTCATAGAAATACACTGATGTCTTCAATTCCTTCATAACATTGTTCTGTTTTAAATCTGTTTCAGCATATTTGCTCTGTTTTAGTCCTCTTGTGCTAATTTTAGATTTTAGCTGTTGTCTTGCAAATGTTAACGTTTGACTAGCATGGTGTTACGTTTTGCTTTTCAGTTTAGCTTATCTTTACCTTTGTATTACCTTTATGTGTTCTGTTACTTTATTTTCAGCTACTGCTCTGCTTTTAGCTTTTAGCTGGTGTTTTGTTACTTTTAGCAGTATTTTGCTGCTTTTAGCTATTATTCTGCCCTTTTAGCATTTAGCTAGCCCTTTATTAAATTCAGCATTAATATATAGCCTTTTTCTATGTTAGCTTTTAGCTACTCATTTGCTACTATGAGCTTCTAGCTAATCTTTTGATACTTTTTGTTAGCCTTTAAATGCTTAAACTGCTTACAAGCCTTTTGTTATTTTTATCTGTTTTGTTGCTATTTTAGCTAACCACCTAATTTAGCTACTGTTTTGGAATTTTTAGGTTTTAGCTAACATTTCTGTTTGTGTTTAAGCTATGTTTTTGCTTCTTTTAGCTCACAGGTAGGCTAATGTTCTGCTCAGCTTCTTCAGCAAATTTCAACAAAGTCGTTCGGCGTTCTCCATTCTTGCAGAAAATGCAATTTATCCATTTTTTTTCTTTTCTTTTATGAATAGACTTAAAATCTGTGCAGAACTGCATGTGTATAAAAACAACATAAATATTTGTTTGCAACAGGATTTTACTTAATTTTTAAAAAGCTCAAATTGCGTTAAATATAAACGTGCAATGCTCTAAAACCAGCAGTTTAACCTGCGGTGTTCTTGCTGATGCATTTTAAGGTAGAAGTCAGATCCCAGTCAAAATATTTATCCTTCTCCGCCTCTTCCTTTCACCCAAATTCAAGAGTCTGGCAACAAAGTTTCCCCGGGGGAGCTGCTCGTGTGCATGAATTAGCATTTAACAAGGCGCATGTCCACTGTTGAGCGGGGGCTCCGTCAATGGACCGAGTGTGGGAAAGCTGTGAGAAGCAGAGTCACAGTTCAGTGAGATTAACATCTTCAGCCCCATCAGCACCCGACTGTTCTCCAGGGGAGTTGGCACACTTCAGGGGAAGACTTCTTTCACCAGACTATCTGTTTGTTTCTACATTTCTCTTAGACGCCAACTCAGTAACGTTCGCCAGCTTCATCCCCACTCGGTGTAATATTCATCATTTGTCTCAAAGTTTTTATGTTTTGTTTTTGATGGATTCTAAAAAGTCAAAGCAAAGCCCCCACAAGTCTTCGGCTCAGCCTTTTGAAAGACGCTTATTGTGCAGTTTAAAGAAAACATCTGAATGAATTGACAGAGAATCAAAGTTTTCCAAATCAACTTTTCATTCGGTCAAATCCAAGTCCAGCTGTGAAAATGTGTGTAAACAGTTTGAAATGGTAATCAGCTGTTGTTTTTAACTCATTTGGAGACTCCACTCTCCTCTGGATGGTTTTTTTTTTTACCAGTTTATTTTTCTTGAACATGCTGCCAAAAATAATTCAAATGTAATTTGTGTTACTTCAACCAACATAAATCGGTGGATGAACAAAGATCTGAACATTCTTTAAAAAAAAAAAAAAAAGGTCCCAAAGTGTGCCAGCTGGTTGATGTGAATGAGTTTGTCCATGTTGACTCACTCAGCCAACATCGTTCTAAGACTAAGTAGGAAAATGTTTGTTTACATTCTTACAAACTTTGCTTTGATTTTCATTAAAATCATAAAGAGAGTAACATCCAGCTGGTAAACTATTAAATCTAGATCAGTGGTCTTCAATTAAAAATTCGACACGGTAAATTGAAAAAGGTCCAGAATACTTTTACAGCATTAAAACCCTTTTAGTGACAGCGATGCTAGTTTTCTTCATTCACCGTACTGTCTTTTTAGGATTCTACTTTTCCATGTGGCAGAAAGAAATCACAGGACAGATGTTGGAATTACAGAAAATGCTACAGAAGCTGCACCACCTAACATGTATTACTGGAAATGCTAAGGAAATGTGCATCCATCCATCTATCCATCCATCCATCCATCCATTCATCCATCCATCCATTCATCCATCCATCCATCCATCCATCCATCCATCCATCCATCCATCCATCCATCCATC